GACTCCCGACTACCGGCGATTTGACGAGTTCGAGTTCTTAGATGGCTTATTGTACCGTGGGGAGCAGCTTTACGTTCCTGAAGGTGATGCTCGAAGGTTGCTCCTGATGGCGTGCCACGATAGCCTGACTGCTGGTCACTTTGGCATTGCGAAAACCTATGAGCTAGTTGCACGGGACTTTTGGTGGCCTCACATGGACGACTACATCAAAGCTTTTGTTATCTCCTGTGACACTTGTGCCCGGAATAAGGTACCTCACCACCTTCCTTCAGGTTTGCTTCGTTCCCTTCCGGTCCCTTCAGGTCCTTGGGAATCCATCTTCATGGATTTCTTGAGTGATCTTCCGAGTTCTGGAGGCTTCAACAGCATTTTAGTCGTGGTGGATCGCTTCACAAAGATGGCGCACTTCTTGCCATGTACCAAGGAGTTTTCGGGCGAGGACATGGCAAAACTGGTATTCAGGGAAATTTTCCGACTTCATGGGATTCCTACAGATGTGGTTTCGGATCGGGGGCCTCAGTTCATCTCTCATTTCTGGCAACAGTTTTTGCAGCTGCTTGGAGTGAAGGCCAACCTCTCTTCGGCATATCATCCTCAAACTGATGGGCAGTCCGAGCGAACGATTCAGACGTTGGAACAATTCTTGAGGTGCTTCATCAACTATCATCAGGATAACTGGTTCGATATCCTTCCCCTTGTTGAGTTCTCCTATAACAACTCTGTTCACTCCTCTCTTCGAGTTTCCCCCTTCTTTGCGAACTCTGGCCGAAATCCCCGATTCAATCTCTCACTTCCTTCTCCATCTGAATCCTCTCGTTCAAATCCCCGCTCTGAGGCATTTATCTCCAACCTCCAGGAAATCCACAACTCCATCTCCTTCCACCTCCATCGTGCTCAGGAATCTCACAAAACATTTGCCAATGTCCATCGTCAGGATTGTCCCCCTTACAATATCGGGGATAAAGTCTGGCTCCTCAGGCGAAATATCTCCACCACCAGGCCCTGTCCAAAACTCGATTTCAAACGCCTTGGTCCTTTCCCTATCACTGCCATCATTAATCCTGTCACTTATTGCCTTGCACTTCCCTCCTCATATCAAATTCACCCCGTTTTTCACTCCTCTCTCCTTGAGCCTTATATTCCCAGTCCTATTCCAAATCGGGTCATTCCTCCACCTCCACCAGTGTAGCTCGAGGATGGGTCTGAGTATGAGGTTCAGGACATCCTTGATTCCAAGATTTCACAGTCTAAACTCTACTATCTGGTGGACTGGAAGGGTTACGGACCTGAGGAACGCACTTGGGAACCTGCAAACAACCTACTTCATTCTCCTGACCTTGTTCAGGACTTCCACCGCCGCTATCCTTCTCGTCCCAGTCCTCATTCTTTTTCTCCATCTCCCATCCCTCGCCACTCATCTCATCCTCCTCTTCGTTCTCGTTCACATCCTCGTTCCACTCGTTCTTGAGGAGGGGGTGCTGTCAGGAATCCCCCAATTCTTGCCACATTCCTGACTCTCGCCGGATTCCTGACCTGCAGACCACATTCCTGACTCTCGAGACACTTCCCTATTCCTGACTCTCGAGACACTTTCCTATTCCTGACTCTCGAGACACTTCCCGATTCCTGAGTCTCGAGCCACATTCCTGATGATGATGTGGCGCCTCCTCGACCTCAGCTATATTTAGGCCGTCCTCGATCCAAGAGTGGTGGAGCTTCATCAACCTATAGTATATATAGGTTAGCCTTGTTCCATTTCTCCACAATCTGAATCAACGCCAGTCTAAGGCCTTTTCTTTGTTTCCACTAGCTTTTCTCTTTGTCTTTTTGCATTTTCCAATCTTGATCTTGTCAGGGGTCTTGACAGTTACTAGCTTTTCTCTTTGTCTTTTTGCATTTTCCAATCTTGATCTTGTCAGGGGTCTTGACACCTACTATACATTTGGAACCCCCCACAACCCCCCAACAACCAAACGGCATCACCAAGAACTCGTACAAACCAAATGGTGTACAAAAAGCAGTCTTAGGAATATCTTCTTTGGCCATCGGTACTTGCCAGTACCTAGAAGCAAGATCCAGCTTGGTGAACTAACAACTTCACCCCAGACGATCCAAGAGATTAGCAGTGTGAGGAAGAGGGTACACATCTGGGATCGTCACTCCGTTTAACAGACGATAATCAATGCAGAAATGAATACTCCCATCAGGCTTCATCACAAAATGAGATTCACATGCCCAAGGACTCCGCAACTTTCAAATAACACCCTTCTCTAACATCTCCTATATGTTCGTATGCAAAATCTTGATCTCTTTGGGTGACCGACGATGAACAGGAACCTTGATTAGACAAGCATCCCTGGTTGGAATTGGATGACGTGTGGCAATCTTGGCCCCAGATGATAGGTCAAATTCAAAGAGATCAAAATATTCCTTCATGAGCCGGTCAACGGCTACAACACAAAAATTGTTGGAGGGATCGGAAAAGGGAAGAGCAGAACAAAACAGAAACATAGAAAGAAATAGTGGAAGAACAAAAGTAATGGAAGTAGAGGTAAAAGTAGAGGGACAAAAAGGGACGAAAGTGAGAGGAATGGATGAAACATAAGGAAGTATGAGATAAGGGGGAAAAACCTCAAAGTCACACTTGGCATGATTGCGTTGCAATCAATCCATACCAAGAATGAGGTCAAAAGCTTGACTCGGCACCACCTGCAATGACTGCAACTCAAGCTCAAGATTGCCCACACACACAACTAGGTCTACCTCATCCCGTGCACATGCATGTGTATGGCCATTGCTATAAAGAATGAAAACTGGTTCCGCCACACGACGCAAGTGTAGACGGCAATGTGTGGCAACAGGTCAAGCAATAGAAGATAAACTCGAACTTATATCAACCAACACGGAGAGAATAATAGGAGACCTCTTGTTATAAAAATGAGCTTGCAAAGTAAACACTGGATGAACTGATGCCGAGTGAACCCCTTGATAATACTCCCGAAAGAAAGATGGAGGGATCATTGACTTATTCGCACAAGGTCCCTCTGTTACTCGTGTGACTCCTCTTTTCCCAGATGCATCTCGGTGTCTAAACCTTCCACTGCAGCAGCACTAATAGGACATGGCTGACGCCAAGGTCTCCACCCAGGAAATGGAGGTCGCCAATCCGGAAAACACCAACAACGCCAATAAGTATGACCGAAGAGCATCGTCAAGGGTGGCGGGAGCAAGTGCATGCACAAGTCCGACAAGATCTTGATGAAGTGCTAGCCACAACATTCCTAGCTTGATCCGCTTCAACATATTTGGCTCCGCACGAAGCAAAAGACTTCGGAAACGAATGCCAAATTGCATCACTGACTCAAATGGCCCTTGGCAAAGACGATGCAATTGTTGGAAAGCATCATCATAGTCATCGGCATGTCCGAAGGTGTGTTTGAAGACGTCCAGAAGAACACTTCAATCCCCACGAGTGGCTGCACTCAAACCGTTGTACCATTGCAACACCGTCCCTTGGAGACACGTGGGAAACTCATGCAAATGTCGAGCATCATCCCAAACATGATATGTGGCAATCAGCGTGAAGTGATTGAACCAATGGTACACATCATCCTCAGGATTCTCGCGTAAGAACTCCAGCCGAACGCGAAGATTGGCACTAAGAGTAGGAGGAGTTGTACTCTGTGCTGTGAACACCGCTATTAACTAAGTCTGGTTGTTCAATTACAAGTGCATAGCATCAAGCAATTGTATCAATTGCTGCTCTAAAGTCAAAGGAGGAGATTGCTGATTTGCCATGGAGAGGAATGAAAAAGAAAGAGCAAAAGAAGAAAAATGACAAAAAGCTAGAAGGAAATGGTAGATCTAGACAATGTAAAAAGTTAGATCTAAACCAAAATCCTGAAAGGAAAGAACAAAAGGAAGGAAATGGAAAAAACTAGATTTAGATAATGCAAAAGTTAAATTTAAACCAAAATCCCAAATTCAAGCACTCCTCAGAGACCATCAAAGGTGCCCCTCACCTCCACCAATGTGAGTGCTTGGAATATGGAAAGGGAATATAGAAAATATGCATATCAATTAGCCCAAAACCCCTAATTTATATACAGGAGCGAGTGGTCTAAATTGAAACTAATCCGATAGCTACCAAAATCCCACTATAATAATATTAGTATACGGCATCGTAGCTGTATACTTGGGCCCTCACAATTTGAATTTATTATATATATTTACAAATAATTATTTTCTTGATTGGATTTGGGTAGTAATATATTAATGTTCCTAAAAACTTATTGTTTTATATTTTGAGTAAAACTTATAATTAATTAATGTTTTGCAGTAATTATTCTCTTTTATTTCTTTTTACTTTTTTCTTTGTCAATTGTTTTCTAAATATATTCATATTTCCAAATAATAATCTGTATATAATATTTTTATGAATGAATATTTTATCTTACTTATGCCTAGGAATATATTTTGTTCTAAATAGCTATATTATCAAGTTTACAAGAATTTATTTTTGTATTCATCTAGCATTTTCTAGGCATAATTCTCTCAATCAAAGTGGAATATAATATTTGTTGTTTTGATACTATTCTAATTTAGTTTTTAAAATATTAAAAAATCAAAACAGTATTTTGCTAATTACACAGCATATAGTTAAAGTATAACGCATTCAATCTTGCTCCAACCAATGGCTTGGTGTGCTCACAATTAAATCACGCCCATGAGCGACAATGTTTCCATATCGTGCCATTCAATTCCCCCAAAAGCTGTGGAAGAATTGTCCAGATCTAGCATCTCCCCGCAAGAAAGTTGGTGGAACAACGAAAGGGAGCTCGCAAATTTGGTGGTGCCACTCACTCACATTTATTCGAAAACGAAAAAAATGTACTATAGATGTGGCGTGGCTTGAATGTGAAGAAAAACGTGCGGACGTGGACACGACGTGACAATAAACTTCTGGACGACCATTTCCAAGAACTGTTTTTTACTTGGCTATGGAGGGCTTGTTTCAAATCGGGACGGCAGCAATTTTTCTATCATGGATTGCCTGGAGTTTGTTCTTCGCACCAAGAACAAGGATCTACCGAGGTAATTTGCCTCCCTCGCCAGGATTTGCTCTCCCGATAATCGGCCACCTTCACTTACTTGGCAATTTGCCACACGTCTCCTTCATCGAACTGGCCAAGCGCTATGGCCCGTGTCTAATGCTCAAGCTTGGATCATATCCAAGCCTGCTTATCTCGTCGCCCGAGTTTGCTCGAGAGGCTCTCAAGGTGAACGACATCGTCTTCTCATCGCGGCCCAGCTTGGCGGCCTCCAGGATCCTGGCAGACAACGCGGCGGGGATTCTATGGGCTCCCTACGGCCAGGAGTGGAGAAACTTGCGCAAGCTTTGCTCGCTGGAGCTCCTGACCTCGAGACGAATCGAGGAATCGCGGCCGGTGCGAGCGGCCGAGGTTGCGGCAGCGATGGCGAGAGCAAAGGAGATTTCCAAGGCGGGGATTTGCGTGAACTTGACGAGCTTGCTCGAGGATCTCACTTTCGATATCATGCGAGTGTGGGTCATGGGATCGTCGGAGAGCTCCCGATCCTCGGCCGGGGTTTACAAGCGAGTGATGAAAGAATCCTTCGTTGCTGGCGGGGAAGTTCACGTCGGGGACTACGTACCTTGGCTCTGGTGGCTGGATCTTGCAAAGGTGGCGCGCATGAAAAGAGTTCACGGTGAGATAGACGATATCATCCAGAAAGAGATCGACGAACACTGCGGCAAGAGAAGTGGCAGCGACGATTTCATCACTGCCACCCTTCGAAACAACGAGATTTGCCGCACGGATCGCGATCGCAAGGGACTCATCACTGTAAGAATCTCTTGATTTCTTTTATGTTAATTTCGATCGATCGTCCACTTGAACCAGGATGTCATAGGAGGCAGCACTGACACCAGCGCTTTGACGGTGGAGTGGGCGATGGCGGAGCTCATCAACAATCCTCGATCGCTGGAGCGAGCACAAGACGAGCTCCTCCAAACTTTCGGCAAAAATTCGCTCGTGGAGGAAGATCGACTGGAGGAGCTCGAGTTTCTAACCGCGGTGGTCAAGGAAACACTGCGCTTGCATCCAACGGCGCCCATCCTCATCTACGAGACGACGCACGAGTGCCAACTCGAGCGCTACACCATTCCTCCAAAAACTCGCGTCTTCATCAACATCTATGGGATCGCCAGGAGCGAGGCGTCGTGGAGCGATCCCCTGGCTTTCAAACCCGAGAGATTCCTGGGCAGCGGCGCGATCGATGTCCGCGGCCGCGACTTTGAGGTGCTCCCGTTTGGATCCGGCCGGCGTGGATGCCCCGGGATTCAGCTGGGATTCACGATGGTGATGCTCGTCCTCGCGAACTTGCTGCACGGATTCCACTGGAGCTTACCGCCAGGGCTATCGCGGCTGGATATGAGCGAGGAGAGTGGCCTCACGATTCCTCGCGCGATCCCTCTCGAGCTCCTGGCAGTGCCGCGCTTGGATGCGCGCTCCTATTCTGTTTGAAATATAACAGAGAAAATATTTCTAGGGCTCTAGAGCTGAGCGATGGAAGCGAGGAGATTTGGCGATGGCGCCATCGCTCGGCAGCTATTCTCGATCAAGGCAAGTATCGCGGCATTGAAATCTTTCACCGGCGCCAGGGATTTGGAGAGAGGGAGGAGGATCCACGCCGATGCGATCCACACAGGGTATGATTCCAATCCTCGTGTGGCGAGTAGCTTGATCAACATGTATGGAAAATGCGGCAGCGCGATGGAGGCTCGACGGGTTTTTGATCGAATCCAGGACAGGAACAGGGATGTAGTGGTCTGGACAGCCATGATTCTTTGCTATGCTGAGAATGGGGAGGGGTTTCTTGCCTTGGATCTCTTCTCCAAGATGATCCGCGATGGCTTCTCGCGGAATTCATGGACTTTGGTAGCTCTTCTCAAGGCCTGCTCGAGCCTGGCAGCGAAAGAACGAGGTGTCCACGTCGGGGAAAAAATCGTGAAGGCGGATTCTTTGGAGAAAGGAATGGCGATTCACTCTAGAGTGCTGGGTGATGAGCTGAGCAACACTTTCGTAGCAAACTCGCTCGTCAACTTTTATGCCAGGTGTGGGAGCATGGTGGATGCGGCCAGAGTTTTCGACAGCATGAAGGAGCGCGACGTGGTGTCCTGGAACGCCTTGGTTCTCGGGCACGTAGAGAATGGAGAGCTCGAGCAGGCTCTAGAGGCGGTCACCCGATGGATTGAAGACGGCCAAGGTTTTGGAAGTTTCAACCATCTCAGTTTCGTGGCTGTTTTCAAGGCTTGCATTGGCTTGGCCGAGAGAGAAGATGGTCAGCTCCAAGACAACGGTAAGCTTGTCAAAGTGAAGGCTTTAGAGAAAGGCATGGCCTTCCACTCGCAAGCTTGCTTGTCCGGCTGCTCTTCGGAAGCTCTGCTGGCAGGCACGATGGTGGACATGTATGCCAAGTGTGGAAGCATGGAAGACGCTCGGCGAGTTTTCAATGAGATAGTTTGCGGCCGCGGCGGGGGCAGAAGCTCTGCCATCGATCTAGTGGTGCCTTGGACTTCACTTGAGATGGGACTCGTAGAGAATGGCGAAGCAGGCGTAGCTCTGGAGCTTTTCTATCAGATGGTCGACCACGGACTTACTCCAACTGCCGAACTTACGTTGCTGCGCTCAAAGCAGGCTGTGGCTGCCTGGAAGCGGTGAAGAGACTCCACGCTGGGATCTTAAGATCCGGAATGCTTGAGAGAGATTTGCTTCTGGGAAACTGCCTGGTCGACGTTTATGGCAAATGCGGCAGCACAGTCGATGCTCAGCTCGTCTTTGATGCGGTTCTAACAAGAGATTCGGTGACTTGGATATCACTGCTCGCTGGCTACAGCCTACACGGCGACGCTCGCCTCGTGTTTGAGTTTCTCCAGGCCATGCAGGACGATTCTTGTCGACCAAATGCGGTGGCTCTCCTCTACGATCTAGCTGCGTGTAGTCGCTCGGGCCTGGTTGACGAAGGGAAGCAGTGTTTGGAGGCAGCTGTAGCAAGGGGTGGTATTGAGCCAGGGATTCAACATTACAGTTGCATGGCAGACTTGTTGGGACGTGGTGGTGGAGTGGAAGCTATGGTGGAAGCGATGCCTCGGTCCTGGGAGGGGAACTCTGTGGCATGGACGATGCTACTGGATGCCTGCCGAAAGTGGGGTGAACGTTGCGGTGGGAAAGGTGGCGTTTGAGAAATTGACGAGGCTGGATTGCGAGAGAACATCTTCAGGAGCACCAACAGCAGCCTACGATTTGATGGCAAGTCTCTTCTTGTTATGAGTGATAACAAGAATTCGTCCACTTCATTCTTGACCTTCAGAACTAACGAAGGCTTCATCATCGAAAACACTAAAAACGGAAAAGTAACTGCTAATTCTCATGTTAAACATTTACTACATTATCCAAATTTGCATGATGAAAAATCATTTGCATCCGTTATTAGCTAATATTTATTTTAAATACGCAGATATGAATTTCAAGCAATATGGACAAGAGGTTCCTGGAGTAGGACAGGAGCCGAAGACGGGTTTCTGACAATGTTGACAAACGCATCGGTGACATTGTAAAGGACAGCTCGGAGGAATGCCACCACCGCTCCAGCCGTGAAATCTCTCATGGGCTTCCGGGGGCTCTTTCGTTTGCAAGCGAGAAGGAACACTCTCTGACCGTCGAATGTCCCCAAATCGTCCACAAAATCCATATGCCCGTACTCTGAGGGTATCAAGTCGACCACCATGCTCCTTGTCTGGTTGAAGAAACCGCCATGGTTATACCTTGCCGGAGAGCAGGCACCACTAAGTCCAGTGCCGATGATCAAACTTGGGTACTGGAAAACAATCGGTGCGTCGTATAGAACCCGCGGTTGCGTTTGGCCGAGCTTTGTTCCATCCATGGGGTCCAGACCAACGAGCGTGGCAAATGGTACGCTGATGTTGGCCTTGATGTTGAGTGCCAGCGCGAAGGCGATCTTGCCTCCTTTGCTGTGGCCCATGTTGACGAGCTTGCCAACATTGACGCTCACACCAGCTGGGAGAAAGGCTGCGAAGTTTCCGAGGAGCCATTCAATAACTCTCGCTGCATCTTCGATGTCTCGTGTGGCATTTGTGTCCCAAAAACTATCACTTCTCTGTATCACAGTGTGAGTGGAGTGAGTTTTTGCTTCACGTAGCTCACCTGTGGCGCAACGACGACATAGCCGTAGCTGGCGATATGCGTGAGTATGCCTGTGTAGATTCGAGTCTTGAGGAATGTTCCATGGTGGAAGACAATGAGGGGAAACGTCCCGTTACTCGAAGGAGTGAAGACCCGGAGTGGCAGTAGGCGTCTTTGATTGATGGTGAACATTGAAACATTGAAGCTGCCGGTGTCATAGATGGAACCGTCATAGACATGCTGCCTTATAACTTCCTCGCTGCAAACTATGCATCCCAAAACCTGCCCAAGAACGAGATGGATTAGATTGTGCTAGAAATCTATATATAAAACGATACCAAGAGTGCACAAACGCGAGCAACTTTCTCTATGTCCATGATGCAATGCGATAGTGCCGGATATGTAGAAGCTGGCTGCTGCTAAGACTCGGATGTGGGTTTGTGTATCCTCCACCGAGCTCGCAACAACAATTTAAGGTCTTCAGAGTATGGACCACAATGGTTTACCTGGCACAACAATTTAAAGCTGATGGTCCATGAACTGCATAAAATTAAATAGGTCCAAACTTACACTATCAAAACGAAAGTCTGGTTTGCAAGGGAAGTAGCTTAAGAAACAGCATAGTTGCTGAGCAACTTTGGGATGTCGTGAGTGAGCATATCGTCTACAGACTGGATCATTGATGGCCTTAGACGATGGAAGCTGTCAATATTGTGCACGGCCAACACTCTTCTAAACGTGTCAATGTTTGGCAGGTCCCCCTTTGGCAAGTGATAAAGACTTTGCACCTGTAAGAGAAGGATTTCACGTGTGAACTACAAACATCTCCATACCTTCACAAATTCATCTTCCAAGTTCACTACCAAGCTTTCCTGAGCGTCGGCTTTTCCCCACAGGATGGGCATCTGTTGCTTCAAATGCCCGATGAGATATGCATGTACTTTAGCTGCATGAGCTCGCTTTACGAATTCACTTATCTGTAAACAAAATAAGGAAGAGGATATGATAATGAAAATTTAAAGAGATATCACCCTTCGATCACAAGATCTCTTTGGCAGCTCTGATAGTTCTCTCAAGAGATCTTTCTTCTCCAGGTCAAAGAGATCTTTGCTTAGAATGATCTTCTGCGGGTTGTCATAAAATGAACTGCAACACAAAAATCGCCAAAAATCACAGTGATTGATATTCAGAAAGCATACCCGATGTATACTCGCATTACTTCTGGCGTGTTCACAACTTTACCAAGGGACCACATAAGAGCTCCATATACTCTCATCAGCTGTTGAAGTAACGGGTCAGGATATACGAGAGGAAAAGACAATGTTCACCTGTTGAGCGTCAATACCATCGACTTTGTTGAGAAGAACTCGAATCTTGTCATCGTTCCCTCTAAGGGATTCAATAACCCGTTTTAGTTCGTCACTAATGTCCAGTTTGTGAGGATCGAAAAGCAAAAATATCATATCCGACTTCGCTGCAAACCACTCTGTTACGCCAAGAAAATCGTAGCTGCGTTCTGTGTCTGACAACACTCCAGGCGTATCGATGAAAGTCACGTCATTCAGTAGCTGCCAAACAAGCCCACTCTTTTTTTAACAGAGCAAGAAACTGGAAGAACTCACTGGATGTGACATTTGAGCACACTCGAATTTCGACAGAAACGCTGTCCCAAACCTTTTGAGACCACCGAAAGGCGTATTGGCGTGAACGGACACCGTGTTGCCAGGAACAGTTTTGTCGACGCTTCCTCCCTGCAAAGAGAAAACAAGAAAACGAGGATCGACATACCAGCGAAACACAAACATACCATCACGGCAACGAAACGATCAGTCGTCGGTTCTGGTCCAATGTGAGCTCCTGGACGAAGTAAAGACTGTGTAAGGTGACGCTTCTCGTTAGATGTAAAAAAAGGAAGCGTTGAAATCGACAAGAAGGCAACTCTTATTCGCAAGTTTAAATCACAATAGCACTCACGAAAGAAAGAAGGGGAGACAAGAAAAAAAATCAAATCCAGAAACATACCAGGATAGCTTCTTCCGAGAATGTGGCTAATGAACGTCGTCTTTCCAGTCGAATATTGTCCTAGCAGTGTCACCATCGGTTTCGCCTCGAAATCGCTATCAGTCTAAGCAGAAAAATTAGCCTGCATCGAGTCGACGAATTCCATACCATAGCAGGGCTGGAGAAAACATTGAACTTGTAGAGGCGCTCCAAGGGCTTGAGCTTGCGCGCGTACAAATCCTTCAATCCGGCGATCACGGCGGCCACATTCTCAGAGGAGACCTGTGATCAGAGATGAGAAAAATCTCTCGATCGTGGACGGAGAACTCACGCGCCGGGGGAGACTCTCCAGCGCTGCTTGCGCCATTGTTCCAAGAACCCTAAACTTAGTAAACTAAACCGATCTATTACAATGGTATATATGCTGTTCGTGTTCACTCTCATGTTCATTTTCATTTTGCGATTCATCCTTACATTGTCAGCTGAATTGGAAACTGATTATGAACAACAATGTACCTATTTTCAAAGTTTCTAAAAAACATGAAGTAAAAAGTAGCGAAGTTCAACCAGGTACCACACTTAACACTTCTAATGGCTTAGAGACGCTCTAAGGTCATTGAGAAGCGATCCCCACAAGCCTGGACGTTGTCAAAACCTGATTTTCTGCTAACCTTCACAGATGCTCCTTCTCTCTCACAAGGCTTGTACCCCCATGCTTGTACTGCGAAGGCAAAGACATCAGGCTTCGCCCGATGTTTGAAGAAGTGGCACCAAAAAAGAGCGAAAAGGAAGATTTTGATCCTTAACAATCCCACATTTCAGGTGTGAAGTTGGGTTCACTGCCACCCCTCCCTCTACAGCTTGTTTCAGGACAGACCAGAAAATGAGAAAAGCCTGCCTCAGCGGCTGTTGTCCCCCGTGAGCGCTTCTAAGCGCCTTGAAAAATAGTTCTTGGCCTGGAATTCCTGCAGCATAACAAATGTGAATCTGAGACTTACGCAGAATGTATCTGGCAGCGTCTGTCAGCAACAGCCATGTTCCCACAAGGTATTACTCCGTCAGGGAGGTGGCGTTTGCAGCAATAATTTTCCTTTGAACCACGGCTCTCGCATCCCTCTTGCTTGCACTTGAACATTTTTGGCACCGAAGCAGCAGCAGGCCGGGCAAGGTTCAGCATCCTGTCCAAGGGCTCTAGAATCCCGTGCACAGCACCGAATTTCTTAAAAGCTGGGCCAGTCAACTCTATCGGAGTTTTGGCAAAAAGCTCAGCTTGACCTTCGTCAACTTCGTCATCTTGCTCCTCTTCTTCCTCTTTTTCAACAGCCAGTATGTCCTGCTCAGTTATATTTTCTGGCATGATGCAGTAATACTCAGTCTTCACAGATTGCACCTTCTGCTCCCTATTGGCACCATCATGCACACCAATCCCCAACTGGAAATGGGATGCCACTTCTGTCTTCCACACACTATGCGACATTTTCCAGGACTTTGTCTTCCATTTCGCAATAATGAACTGCATTGCCCAGACATCCACGGCTCTTTCATTGAACACCATTGGGACCAGAAGCACGCCTTCTAGCAGCTCAACATCGCCAAGTTCCGAATATGTCTCTACTTTCTTGCCGTGGGCATATTCCACTACACGGTTGAAGCTGCTCCGTTCAGCATCATGGAAAACCCGCTTAGAGTGTCGTATTATGTCGATAACGAAACGCTCTATATTCCAGTCAACACGAGCAGAGTTGAGAAGGAGATGCTGTACCCTGAGGTCCCTGTACACCATCGAAGCCCACCCCCGAATGTCAATCATGCTCAAACCATCATCCACTTGTCGATACCGGTCCCTCAGATAGTTCCTAGCTTGCGTTTCTAGATAGGCAGAAAGCAGACGGTACTTTCTGTCCGTCCCCTCGTAGAAGCAAGTAAGCTTCACTTTCCTGGCGAGCATATGATTGATCTCTCCACGCATAATAAGCCTAACTCGGCCTTGTTTTCCAGCAGCCCGATGAAATCAGTCCAGAGCTTGTAAGTAAACGGCTCGGCAATAAGATCCCTGTATGTATCCTCGTCCCCCTGCGCCTGTTCGAAGTATGTCAGCAACTGTGGCATTCCCCCAGTAAGATATGCCACAGTCAGACTCTTCTTCACATCCTCAGTTAATGGTGTTACACCTCTCCATGTCCCTTTCTCCACTGGCCCGTCGACGAGGAACTTCAGGAGCTTGAGTTTCTTCTTGTTGCTCCTTTCAACAATCAAGCGTTCTCTGCTGTTTACAGAAGAAACCCGAACGAGAGCGTACAGCTGCATGAAGCCGAGAAGATGATGTTTGGCAGCAGCCCTGGTCCTCGAAGGACTCGCAATCGTCTACCACAAAGCTCAGCTCTGAAACGTGAGCATAACACCACTCCTCCAACTGGACAGCCTGCCTTCTTCGAGAAATCCCCTCCGTTTCCTTCTGCAGGCCACAAAATGCCACGAGCAAGCCCTTCCACAAGGCGAGCACAAACTTGCGGGTGAGCTCTTCCGGATCCAAGAAAACTACCCGCTTCCGCCCCTACTGCTGGAGTTGGTTGCAAACTGCACTACCGTCTTTCCAGAACCTTTGGCACCCATAATGACAAGTTCACTGCCAGGACGCAACGCCTGGATACGCTCAAGAAGCCCCTTAGCGATTGAACGTGGGATGAAGAGGAACGGGTCCTCTTCAGAGAGCGGGGTGAGCGCAGGCCGGCAGAGCTGGGTTGCGTTGCCAGTGTTCCATAGGTACAAAGGATCATCGCGGAACCCCAAACACCAATCTCGAAGCAGTAAGCTTGGTCGAACTCTGTAATAAGACGGTGCCCCATGGCCAAGTTTTCCATTTAAACACAAAAGGAAAGCCCAAAAAACACACTCCACCAACTCATGCTGCCTTCCATCTTCAACCTCCGTCTCTCGTCTCCATGCCTCCTCACCAACATGCCAATATAAAGGCATACACAGGTTTATTTCTTGCCAACCTTGGCAAAGTTTCAACTCACCTTCTTTCACATACTAGAACCATATAACATGCTATATAATAGGATATTGGCCTAGTGGCAAGCTTGTTACATGGCAAGACCATAAAGGCTTTCCATCTCTTGCATCCACTGCATGACCCCATTCCTAGAGTTGCTATGGAATGTTTAAGTTGGCAATGCCCATTTGAGTCCTTGTTTATAGAATGAGTTTTTTTGTAGCTTATTAGCAATGAATTTTCTGCAGCTTGGTAGCAGCCACAGCCATGGAAACAAATATGCTAACACCATAACAATGGGAGCATATATTAAACATAGATGAGTGGTTTGAATAAAGAAAATGTTGTCCATAACAGTTATGCCAATTAGTACAACTTATTGATCCATTATGGGATTAGGGCTTAAAAAAAAATTATAGGTTGGAAAATATTCAAGAATTTTATGTTGTGCCACCAATGCACCTGTTACAAACTAGAGGAAACTAGAGGAAAATCAAATCCTAGAAGCCAGAGTCTATATCCCATTACAAACATATAAACAAAATATCAATTACTTTCTACAATACCTTGGCTGGAAGTGTGCTTATGAATGTCTGGATGTGGCCAAAGGTTTAAAAGCCAAAGGAAATGGATTCTAATATTGCCAAGAGGCTTGCAAACCTAAAATAGATATTATTCATTCATGTTTAGAGCTTAGGATTGCATTAAAATATCTAACCATTTCTGAAATGTAAACTTTAAGCCTCAATGACCTATAGATTCCACCAAGAATCCATCACAAAAATGTTGTGGATGCCATCACACTCCAGTGATCTTGAGGCTGAGAACAGTCAATGATCCACTCCTCATGCCAACCTCAAGCTTGAAAGCAAGTCTTTTGAAGCGGCCCCTCAATGAGCTTGAGTGGGAGACACCAACTTGATCAACTTGATATCATTAATTTTCTTAAGCATAGATTTCATTTTGGCACTCTTTCACCGATGATGCTGTTGCATGCCCATAGAGAATGCCTAGAATCCAGTCTTGCCCAAGTGAGAGCAAATTAGAAATTTGGTATTGATTGGATCCAACAGTCCAAAGGTTTGACTGTCAATGCAAGTCAACACATGCATCTACCACACATCACAACACCTCTGACTCCAACCAATTGGCATCTCATTTGCTAAGAGCAAATATCTACACTAGCTAAGATGTTGTAGGAATTTAAAATGGGTGTAAGCCCAAGCAAGGTTTACTGTGCTAGACCAAAGCTCTCACTGTGCTCAGATTTGCTCGGCCCTTGATCCTGTTTCTAAGTGTCACATATTCTTAAGCAGATTCTCCCCTAGCCCTAGCTCACGCCATGCCTTTTATTGCCCACTACTACATCCCAAGAACGCCCTCCTGATGTGCCACCTGATCCTGTCTAACAAACTGCCATGTTCATGTCATCATCCATGTGTGCCACCTCATTTTGTTCTATGGGCTAGCATGTGAATGGAATTGTGGACGTCTCCGTAAATGCACTTGCTCACTTGGCATTGCCCTCTTCCAATCGGTGACAAAGACGCCCCTTCCAGGACATGCCCAGTGGCTACTCAAAGGTACATACAAAATCACTTTTTTACATGCAAACTTTGATATTTTAGGTATAGTTTTCTTACTTTAAGATATTTGCCTCTCACTTATTACAGGCTCACTACAGCTGTAGTGGTTCATTGCCCAGATGCCCATCCTCGTGATAGCAGTGATGCCATGCTTCCAAAGCTATCAAGAAAAAAAAAGTCCATGGCTGCCATACCTCATGACCAAACCTCTTTGGTTATACTTGCTGTCCTGGCCAGGAAAATTCCTTCAGCCATGCATGTCCTTCACATAAGCACATTACTGGGCAATGTGTGTCCCCTTGCACAAGCCCTCATACTCAACCAAGTGAGAAAGAGAAGCAAGTTAGTTATGTCAATAAATTGCTATGTGTTGCATGTACTAAAGCTTGGTTTGTTTAATAGTAGTGTTATTTTTACTTATTAATCCAATTGATTAAATCAGTATAAAATTATAAGCATGTTTGTAATTTATAAACACAAGATTTATGTAATTGCATATCAACCATTAGATGATAGAATTAAAAAAATATACTAGAAAGGGTTTAAATTTTTTTATAAATTATAAATACAAAATTAATTTAAATGAATAACAATCGTTAAATGGTAGAATATCCTAAAATACTAATCCTAAAACATATTTTAAATATATCCACTACCATACAAGTTTACTTAAGCAAACCAAAAATAAAAATGATAATAAAGATTCATATAGACTCCCTGGCCCAAATACTTCCTATCTCCACCATAAAATGGGCATAAGCCCAATGAGGTTTACTGGAATCCACG